GTATGGCAGAGGGCAGCAGAACAACCCTAGCCCCAATATGCTATGTTCCAAATACACGACACTCCAAAAACACAAAGGCTTTCTCAGAGAACGAAGAGAGACTTGAAGAATAATGGAGAAGCCAGACATTGTGAGGAGAGCTGAAGAATGGGGAAGCTTTTTCTCATAATTATCTTTGTTGTTCTCTATGATATTTTCTCTTTGAGAACAAGTACTTTGCCCTTTTAAACTTAAAGCACATGGCTTCTTTGGTTGAGTGTTACGTATGAACCACGAGGCTGTATTCATGTTTTAAATCAGTACAGGTTACGATTTTTGCTTTGGAGAGTTAACAGATGTGATACAGTCATGACAGAATGAGGTTACTGCAGAAATGACTCATTGTTGAATAATCAAGTGTTTACTCCACCAAAACTGCGTGTAGCCAGACTGCCACAGATTTTCTGCTTTATTGTAAGATGTAGCTTTTAAATGTCAGTACATTAGGAAGAAAGGTAAACTCCTCGGGTGGCTCAGATCTCTTTTTATGCCTGTGTTTGAAGGCAGACAGTCTTATTCTCAATGGAGAAGAAAAAAGCTACGGAGCACATCAATGGAGGCATACATTAATGAAATAAGGAAGGGAAATTAGCAGAAGAGGAAAACAAAATCCTTTCCTGAAGTGGAATAGAGAAGTGTTTCTGTAGGAGACCAGATGAAGAAAGAACAATTGATGTGAGGTTCTGGTGTGATTGTTTCATACATCCCAATCTAGTACCCTTCCAGAAAATCATGTCACCATCTGAGAAATCTTCAGCCAATCATTTCTCTAGATAGAACTGATTTTTTTCAAGGTACATTCTTTGGCTTTTTTGGTTGCTTCTAAAGAAGGTAATTTGAGGGTGCTTGTGCTTTCTCTTGTATGAAGAAACACATACTCAAATGTATCTTGTCTACCAAGAGGGACCTAAATCAGGTGAGAGGAATAACCGGCTGGAAGAGCATCTCACTCTTCTGACTACTCAGGGGGCCATCTGATGTGGGTCTAAAGTTCAGGTCAGGACATGAATCCGGACCAAAGAGACTTTGGTCTCTTCGAGGTCTCTCTCCAATACTCACTGTGTACATTGGGAGTGAGCCCAGTGCCTTATATGCCTGCTGGTTTAGTCCTCTTCCCTGTTTAAAGGGCAGGAGAAGCAGGGTTGAGATCTAAACCCTGGATCATACCTGAGTGCCCTCTGGTTTCTTTCCAAAGGTCTAGCACCAACACATGTGACCAAGGCGCTGTCATAAAAAAAAGAAAAAAAAAGATTATACATACTCCCACTGGGTGATAACTTCCCATGGAACAGAGAAAAGCTCACTCTGTAAAAGCATGAAAAAGAGCTGAGTAACAACTGAGCTTCTAAAAGTTCCTGAAGTTTGAGTCTCCTATGGTAGATGCACTCTGAGAAGCAGACATCACTATTTTACAGGTATGCTCTAACACAGACGTCAAGTCATGAACGTGCTCTTAAGAGCTAAAATCCATTGCATTCAGACAAGAAGTAGCTCAGCTATTTATAAAGTTACATGAAGCCATGTCAGAGGAGCAGCAACAGAAATGAGACACAGAAACAGGAGAATTTCAAAAGGTCTTGCTATCCAGACAAAAACTTAGCAGACTGTGGCTGTTCTAATTAGTTCCTTGCACAATTAATACTGTCCTGTTCTTCCATCATTGTGAGTCACTTATTTCAGATCACTATTTAAAAAGAAAAAAGCCAGTACTTTACTTGCCTGAACTGTTCCCGGGGCTAACATCATGGAGGTTCCAATACAATTCAAGTGCCAGCTTTAAAAATCAAACCGACCACATTTCTAAATCACTTGTCTTACAGACCCGAGGTTACGTTCAGAATCTTTATCAGATTCTCCCCTCCTCTTTCTAATAATATTGGATTATGTTGGACTATGTTGGATTGACTGTGCTGTTACGTAATGTTGCCAAGTGAAAATCAGGTCAGGTGTCCCTCTTCAGGCTTCTACGCTACTCGCTCCTGCAAGTTCTGTGTACCAATTTTTTAGGTTTAAAGCCACATTTATGTTCTTGCAAGATGAGCTAAATTAGAATGAAGAAGGTGTAATGCCCAAGCAGGACCTTACTGGCCTGTGGATGGTGGATGCAAGTAGCACTTCTTAACCTCAGAGGCCGATGTGCGCTCGTTGGCAAACCAAACAGCTGCTGTGGTACGAGCACAGACCGGCGCCTAAGCACCCCATTTCAGCCGTGCTGGTTCTGAATGGCATGTCGTGCTAGCGTCCTAGCCGTACAGCTGTAGCTCAGAAATCAGAGGAAGAATAAGCACTTCTTTTAAGGATAGAATACGCCAGTCTCAAAGAATGTTCGACTCTGGCTAAAGCTACCAAAATCTTCAGTTCAGTCCCCAAGATGGCAGTCAGAAAGCCATCACCCTTGCAGCCTCCTGAGGGTTTGCTGGGGAGTGGGTAAAAGGGAGCCCTTTTGTGCCTTTTTACCGGTCCAAGGTAAAAGCCTAGGCAGTAGTTAGTGATGAAGAGTAGTAGTTGAAGTTCTACCCAGTAACTGAAATTCTAATCAGTGGTAACTAAACAAGAAGGAGTTAACCTTTTCATGGGAAATTTACTATTGCAAGTAGGCAGTTGTAACCGCATGGACATCTTAAATGTAGAGGCAGTGAGTGGAAAGCAATCAATCCTGGCTTCAACACAAGTAAGGTCTCCAACTGTGTGTATATAGATTGTCCTCTGTACCAGTCCATGTATACATGATGGTGTTGCACAATCTCTGACCCTGCACAGTCCTGTATTACCATATTCTCCTTACAGAAGGATTAACCTGCAGGAGCAGTTTGACTCTGGGCCTGTGCATCAGGGAAGGACACACTTCTTCATGCTTCCTGGGCTGAATTAGAAATGTCACACCTTACCGACTGCAACCAGCCAGCGCAGCACAACTAGCAAATGTCGAGCAGTCACAAGCACACTATATGCTGACAACTTCAGAGTTAAACACATTAATTTAGCATACTTCATTAGCACACAGGAGAAAATTGTCTCTTCACAAACATTTTACAACCCACTAGAGGCTGGGTTTCTTCACTAAACTCTTCCTTGCAAATCCTCACCAACGTTTAGCGGTCATCCCTATTAGTTACTGTTCTGGGAGAGAATGAGTACACAGTCCACAACCAGCGGTTTCTCTTCTCCACTCTGCCCTAAAGCTCCCACTTTGATTGAGATAGTTAGCTAGGAGGACGTAAGCTTTGCACCCTTTTATCAGTTTCATCACAGTTTCATTTGGAAACTTTGCATCTTTGTCGCTAGCGGATTCAAACTCGTTGATGTGTATTTGCAGCTGTATCAGCTACGGAGTCAGTTCAGGCTCTCACAGGAGAAAACGCTGTCTACATTAAGGATCTGTACCGGCATGTAACCTTTCTGATTGTACCATCCCCAGTGAAAGCTGTCTTCCTGTCATGAGGCCTTTCAGTGCTCCTGTAGAGAAGTCCTGTGAGGATCGAGCCATGCTCACATGCGTGCGCGTGGCAGGGTCTCACTCTTCGGAGATAATTCTTTCGTCTCAGCTAGCCAAATATCTTCGTAGTTTAAAAAGGGTCCTGAAGTTGGACAGCTTGTTCCTTTTGCAGCAAAGGCTCAATTGTACGTAGCATTCAGTTGTGGCACCTCGTGGAGTCAGGCCCTTCACGACAGCAGAGTTTTCTGTCTGGCCCATGAGGATTTTAGAACTGTTTATATACTCACAGGGCTGAAGGGCTGAATAGGGCACACCAGGCAGTCCAGTAGCACATTAGTTACTTTGAAAGTTAAGTTTCATTAAGACTGTGGCCACTTACTACTTAATGATATGAAACAGTACATGTGAATATGAAGTAATAATTCGTTGCTTATTCTCTGCAAAATTCTACCTAGGCACAATCTGTATGTACATGCGCTGCAACGAACTGGTCTGGGGTCTGTGTTTTTTTAATCTAAGACCATGTCAAGAAAGATGCTCCACACTGGGAATATTTACACCACTATCACACTATTATCACCATTTCTATACTCTAATTGTGGGAAGAAAAAAAAAAACAAAAACAAACACCTTTTTTTTTTTAAATTCTACTGATTCTTCTTAGAAATTCTGAAGGAGTTATCCTAAAAAGACCCTTTCAGAATTTCCTGGCTCAAAATTTGGTAATTCATTTTTAGTTTGATTAACTATGATTTGGTGTTTAAAAAAGAAAAAAACAAGGAATTCAACATTTGGGAGAAAGCCTACAACAAGAGCATACAAGAACTTTCTCTCAAACCGCAATATATAATTTCTCTTAATTACATCAAATGTTATTTTAAACTAATTGAGTAAGAAAAATATCTCAGCTGAGCACTTTACAAAGACGATGCTATAGTTTATGAACTATACACACACACACAAATTAAATTGCACTTTTAAAAAGCCTATTAATACCACCACTTTGGAACAGTGTTTCTCTGCCTTCCTCTTCTCCAGGAAAGCTTTGCAAGGCCGGCTTCCCTTTCTCGGCCTCTCTCCGCTGTTCCCTCTAGTTACCCATACCACCTTCTTCCTGATTTTTGAGCAGTCCTCACAGTGGGGACCATTTCTGCAAAATGGTGCAGAGGTAGCTTCCTACAATTCTGCTGGGAAGCCACAGACATCATCAAAGTTGTTCATGGGCTTGAAGTTAGGGCCATAAGTATTGGCGATTGGCATTCGAGGGAGTCCCATGAAGTCTGACAAACAGTGCCTTCAGTTTTTAGCAAGAGTCTGTATCTTGGTCATTTATGATGTTTGTGTTACCATTTTTGCATTTCACTTAGCTTTTTCAAAATTGTGCTAGCTAATGCTTTTTTTGGTTGTCATACAGTTTTCTTCCTGGTTTCCATATTGAGGTTAAGATGATAATCCGGTCCTATTTATTTTCTGCAGGCAATGTTTTTAGACTTGGATACTACAGCTAACGCCCAAAAATCTACATTTGGTTGCCTAAGTTGAAATAAGATGTCTTACATGAATACTTGTAAGCATCACTCTCTTCAATGGGAGCAGCTGATACTCACTACCTCAAAAAGTTACATCTGATAATGGATTTTGCCATCCAACTTTAGGTGCTCAGATTGAGAATTTTGGCCCTAATGTTTGCTGCAACCTTAGGTTTGGGTCCAATCCACCTGGCAGTGTCCTTTAAGCAGGAGCTTCCCCATAGCTGCATTCTCTGATTCCGAGATGTTTAGGATGCTTTCCATATACTACAGTTTCTGAATGTCAGTGCATACACACATTTTAAGACACAGCGATAAGACAGTGTATGGAACTACTTGGCAGTATTTAGCTGGTACAGTTTCTTGTGGAAACAACAGAATTGCAAAACACACCACACTGAATGCTTATGGGTTATTACAAGCAAAAATCCCAAGACACCAGGAATTAAAAACTGGAGTTCAACAAAGGAACACTGATATCATTGGTCGATACGAACAAAGTTGTGCCAAGTCTTCCTTCTTTGCTTTTTCAAGTGGAGAAATAAACTGGGAAAGGAAGCAGAAGGGAAAAAAAGAAGACATAAACCAACAGTTATTACAGAGCTACTGTTGCGCCTTATCTCACAGAAGCGTGTGCTGTCACAGAACAGCAAACACCTTTACCACATCTTTGCTGAAAGATCACGACATGTCTCGCACACCGTACGCCTTCCTAGCTGAAATGGGGATGCTGCTTCTGTCTCAAAAGCAGTTCAGAGGGGGGACTGAAGTGGAAAGCAGAGGAAACTACAGCTCGAAAGACAGAAAGGGTAAGGTCTGATGGTGATGTCAGCCACCATCCCCAGCTCCAGCAACATCTGCAGTCTCACATGTTGCAACCCCCTTCAGCAGGGAGCCAGCCTGCTTTTCCAGGGCCCCACTTCCAAGGACGGCAGGAAGCCTGGCTTGGGCCATTTCACCACCCGTGGCAGCTTGTTGCTGTGAGGAACTGCCCAATGTACCTGCATCTATAACCAGTGCTGCATGGAGGGTACGCTCTTGTTCCCATGCAAATCAGTGACTAGAGAAGCCATGCAGGCCTTGTCTGTGACAGCACATGGACGCTGGATGTCAACAGGATTTAAACATACTTGAGAGCTGCTGTAAATAAATACCTCATTGAGTTCAATACACAGAGTCCTTCCTGAAGCTGCAACCTTTACGCACTATTACAGAAGGATCAAACAGACTGAAAAAGTAATTTCAGATCCAGAGCTCAAACACATGTGAATCTCACTAAGCTTGCATTAGATCTTCATTATGGTGAGCCAGGACCTGGGTTTGATGATGCAGCACTCAAGTTTGTGGTTAAATACCCTAAACCCAACCTAAGGCATGTTGAACCTGCTGTCTGTTTCTAAACTTACCAGGACAGGCATCTAACATTTAAAACCAGGAGGGAAACAATGTTATTAGTTATACATAATTTCAGCCTTAACTCCTAAGGAGAAGCTATGAGCTATCTTCTCTGCTTTTCACTGTCTTGTTAAGATACACATAATGCTCAATGATGCATGCATACACAGCAGTCAGTTCAACCGTTGCACAACTGTCTTCCAGGTTGCTGCACTAGACTGCAGAACAAAGGCCCATCTTTCGCTTGAAGCCGTTGCCTTAAGTACCCAGTAAATACAGTTAATTAACATCTAGCCATTTCCCATTCCTCCCATATCAGTGTTATGAAACCCTAGAACTATTCTGGGTCACTCTGGTGCCAGCATTCATAAGACAAACTGCCACATGTATCTCAACCCACTAAGTCATGTTTACAGGTGATTCTGTAAGCCGCTTTTACTGAAGCGACAGAGGAAAATGGAAACATGCCGAGTACAAGGCATGTCATTTGAGAGCCGGGAATTAATTCACATCCACGCTTCAGCCTCCTGGTGAATCTCTTCTGGGTTACTAGCTGGATTGCCTAACTCAAGAAACCTCCCTTTTAGGAGTTAATGCCATATTACAGTTATGTCACATAATGGCTGTTGCTAACACAGAGGTTACATAAATAAAATGTTCAGTTCCTGTCATTACAAGATCCCTGGCTCCCAACCAGCATGACTGCTATTATTCATTCATATGCTCTTTCCTATAACAAATATGTGGAATGAGATGATCTTTCAAGACAAGAAATCAGTAAGGCTTTGGGCCATGTTTTAACAACATTTAGATATTCAAGATGTGAAGGGATTTTCAGAAGAACCAACATCTCAAATCCCAGCTGATTTGGGGGGAACTAGTCATCTACATGATTTTAAAAAACTCATCAGATGCCCGTTTGGCTGTGGGCCTTCACCCTTTTTTTATAGGCATGAGGTAATTCAAGCATTACTGTTCTCACTAGAAAACACCAGGACGGTGGCACTGGTTGCAATGAAAGGAAGGTATCTGAGACTGCATAAAAATTTATATAAACATGAAAAGGGAGAGTCTTTAATCCTACGAAAAGTTATGTAACATGATAATGTAAAATACATTAAATGTCAACAAATTCTACCTATGTAAGTGTCCAGAGAGTTTGCAGTAATTCTCACTATAACAGCATGACACTAGAAGGGGAATTTCACAAATTAATCAGTTTAAATATTTTATATCCGTGATTTGTTTTGTTTGTTTTTTTTTAATATATCAGCACTTTATAAGTCACAAAGCTATTGAGGTCATAAATGAAAGAGAAAATTAATTACTCACTTATAAATATAATGAGAATGACTGCGCATACTACACCAAGGATGATCATCATCTATAAAAAGAAAGTTTTGAGAAAAAAAAGAGCAAGTCAGGTTTTCACATGAAAGACAATAACCCCTCAGGTTTTTTTGCTTTTACTTAGTAGCTCATTCCTTGCAAAGACTCACTGCAACAGACTTGTTAAGGCCCCAGATGTAGTGTCAATTTTAGGAACAACTGACCACCAGCAACAGACACAGCCTCTTACCAAAGCTAGCAAGTCCTTGCCCATCTGATAAGATGCAGTGACCAACACCGTGCATTTCTAGCAGTAAAGAACAAGCAAACATCCAAAGTAAAAGTGCTGCAGTCCAACTGCCATCAATAGCCCAGTGAGAATGGAAAGACTGAAGAACAGCAAACATGGACACGTCAAATCGAGGCCTTCGTTCCTTCTAACATGTCTGGAGGACAAAGCCAGCCCCTGGCTTGCAGGATATTTATTTATTTATTTCCCCCCCTCCTTCAGCGTTTGGGAGCCAGAGGAAGGCTGGGGGGATTCTGTTTGTCAGGGTAAAGCAGGAAGGGACAACGAGGAAAGGAGAATGATGGTAGGTGTGAAGGTTTAGTGTAGTGTAGGTCATTGTGGTGACTGCAGTCAGCATGGGTGAACCTAACTCAAAATCTGTGTCTGTAGCTCCCAAACGCCCTGCTTCCTGCACTGTCAGGCAAAGCAGCTGGGCAACAGCTAGAAGAGGCCCAGAGGAACTGCTCAGTTGAATTTCTAGCCTAGATCCACTTATTTCTGGAGTGTTTGTGCGTGTAGTTTACCCAGAATATTGTGCCTTGCTTTACATTTCATAGCACTGTGGGTTGAAGAGACAAAGCAGGCAACAGATGGGTGAGAGATATGTGGGATTCTCCTCTGGGAACAGGTGGTTTTATCTGGGCGGATATGGATGGTCAGCAGCAAAGATGGTACTGGAAAGAAATAGAAATGAAGCTGAACTTTTGGCATAATGTTCATGTTAGTGGCGCATGAGTAGAAAGAAGCAAGGATATGGGTTCATATGAATAACAGGAGCTGAAGGTTCTAGGTCCATAAAACACAAACCGTGGAGGAGGTCTGAAAAAGCAAAGGTGAGTGAAGTTCCATCTGCTTGTGGGAAAGGATGAGACTTTGAAGACAACAGAGGAGAGAGCTGTTTGATTAAAGTCCTGCTCTATCTTAATCTGCTCTTCTTTAAAAGTGACTGTCATTTCCTCACTTCTCACAGCAGTCTGTGGAACCTAGTACTTTTTTGGTAGTTTACCACCCTAAAGAAAGATCAAGAGCCTGATGATCTCCCACAAGGAAAAAGCTTCTTTTCTCCCACTGCTAGAACTCACTACACCCATTCAGGTTTTGTGGTTCACACAGGGAACTGACATGAACTAACATGGAACATTCTCCCTTCCCTATCTGCAGGCACTGACTGAAGCATCAAAATTTGTATATACATTTTATATACTGCAGATATTATCTAAAGAATAGGTTCTGGTAAAGATCAAAGTTGCTTGACTTCTAACCCTGGAGCCTAAAGGGCAAGGCATCTCCTTCTTCCCTTGACAAGAACAGACAACTCCGAGATGCCATCCTGCAAGCAAAGTCCCATTAAATGCAAGGGAACGTAATTTCTGCCATGAAGTGATTCTTAACAAAAAGTTATATCCCTTACCTTGCAATTTTTCCACCAGTATTTTCTCTTCAGTTTGGCTGCACTGGTTTCAAACTGAGAGGCACCTGCTTGCAATGCATCTGCCCGGTTGTCAAGCTCAGAGAGCTTCTGGTCTCTTTCTAGCACCTTGTCCACGTTCATTCTCATGATGTCTACCACCTGCAAAGGCACAGCCTCACGTTGGATTCCACACACAGCAAAGCCGAAGCTCACCCGTGTGTTCACACTCGGCAATATCGCACGTCATACTGAAACCAGCCAGCTGCCTTAGGGTATGTGACGGCAACTGCCGGGACAGTGCCGCAAAAACCGCGCCTACGGAAACAGACACAGTGAGAACACGACGAACATAGCTATACTCTGCTCAGATGCCCTTAGATGTAAAAAATAAAGGGACGTTCTGAAATACCGTAATTAGTTTCATTAAAGCTTTTCATTTCTTGTAGCCTACAACTAGCTACTTCAGTACAGATACAAAAAACTGATGGAGACCCAGTACCTCTGTACTACAGTTTGGTTGACATTTATCCAGTCATCACTAAGACCAAGCCACTAATTTCATTATACATTTAATATAACTTCCTTACCTGAACTAGAGAAATTGGCTAGACAAGGCCACTCTAAAGGGCACTGTATGCATTTCCTGACCAAGGAATTTACTTATTCTGCAGATCTTTCTCAGACAAGATGACTTCTCAGCCACAATTTGAAGTCCTGCTTGAAAGTGGAGGAGTAGAAAATTTTACCTGAGAAAATTCCGCCTGAAGTGTAGCAGGGAGCGCACGCCACCTCACTGCGTAGCCTCAGCACCTTTAAAAGTGCGCACAGCCAGTACACAACAGGTAAGGCCCACTCATGCATATATTTTACACATTGAGTTAGATGAAAATCTGCCAAGCTAATAACTCTAAATAAAAGTCCTGTACGGAGTCATCACTAAGGTAAATGTTAGACAGTACACCAATCTCAGTGAAGTTGTCTCCACTTATTCTAGCAATGAACGCGGTTGCTGGTCTGTTTGTTATGTCTTACACTGTATAATAAGAAAGTCCATGTTGTTTGTATTTAATACAATTTAACTATTACCTGAAAAAAAAACCAGAGTTATTAAAAAAATACATTAAATACAGTGAGATGAAACTAGTAGTGAAAGAATCTTTGAAAGGACTGGTATAGGGTTAAATGCTGTTCCAAAACGCAAAGGATTTGTTTCACATGTCTACCAAACCTAAACCAAACCCAAATGTTTTGGTCAACCCAAATTTTCTTACTTGCTTTTCCAACCCAAAACCTTCCAAGTATTTAAGTTCATGTAATATATAAAAAAAAACCCCACCTTTGTTTTCATTTCTCAGGTAGTATTTAGCTGAATTTTCTCTTGGTACAATGTTCCACAATGAAAATTTTAAACTATTTCAAAATGCTGAAACAAAATACTGTAACATTTCCTACCCATTCTCTCTTTTATTTGGTCCAGAACTATTTATTGAATTTAACCTGACTTCAGTGAACACTTTTCCAGATGAGACTGCATTTTTGTCAAACAAATAAATGTTTATCTGGGCCTTAGAAAGCAAGCTCTAGGATGCCTAGCGCAATCAGAGGGGAAAACCCAACACGGATATAGCTGAAATACTGTATCAGCATGGATACAGCATGAAAAATGTCACTCATTTTACCAAGCCCAACAACTTTCTCTTCAGCAAAGTGGTGACCGCGTGGCTGAGTTTCGGGTGTGGGTCCGAAGCGCCGTGCGGAGCCGCTCCGGGCGCAGAGTACCCGGAGCAGAGCAGGGCTGTGCTGTGGTGTTTGGCGCCACCTACAGCTCACTTCCCACAAGGCTTGGAAGAAAAACCAGGAAAGATCGAGTAGCAAGGTGCAAAGCAGTGCTTAACAGATCAGATCCTTCGGTGCTGAAAACCAGTTTCACCCTAGTGACTTCAGAGTACTGAAAGCCCAGGAGCACGTTTCTCCCTTGGTTATTCTTACGCTGTGATTTCTCTGTTAAACAAGGTTCTGCTGACCATGTGCTATCCACTCAAAACCCATACCAACCTCAGCCTTCCTCTCAGGTGGGAGGTTGAAAGGAAGGTGGATCCTGACTATCACCCACATAATCCTCAAATCCAAGAGCTACTCACTGTCCCATCATACTGGCTAAGAGTTCCTGCCAAAATTACGTCATCATGCTTCACAAGAAGACAAACTTGCATGGGCTTGAGTGAAAAGTCTCAGAATACAGAGTATCTTAAACACAAAGCAGGGGTTCACTATCCTCACTGGAGCCATCTCCATTGATCTGCTTGAAGAGCCCTATGTATCTGACCTGCATCACTCGTTTTAGACAGTAACTAGCAATTATTTTTCATCTTCTAGGGACAATTACCTTTTCTGTAGCTCACATAGACAATTACAGCACCATCACGATGTAACATGTTCAGGACAAGAAGTTTATTTCATTATTCTGACCCAAGACAAAAGCTGAGATATAATATTCCTTTCCCCACTGCAAGAGACGCTCCACTAACACCAGTGAAGTTAGTGTGATGTGATAATGACAGAACTGGGCCTAGAAATTTCTGCAGACCTTTCTGCAGCCAGAGAATGTTCTTGCGATCAGCTCCGAGCATCAGGAACGGGGAGGTCAGAAAGATCCCAGACCTCCAGCAAAGCAGAATTTTGACAGGTGTATTTAATTCATCTTAAGAAATGCATTTGAGCTGGATATTGAGAGGTCTTCTCCTTTTAAAGCATAACCGGAGCTTTTGAAAATAGAGGTTTTTATGCATGTAAATAGCTATTTTGTAATGTGTATTTTATTGAATTGGCATTAAAGAATCACACAAGACCCTGCCACTTCCCTGTGGACAGTAAGCAATTAGTTACTTTAGTCTTTGTGAGGGTTTAGCAAAGCTCTGTACTTAATACCCAGCACACAAATCCGCAGAGCAGTTGTGCAAGGATGCTACAGCTGCCTCTGTACCGCTGGTATCCTCGGGGACTGCACCCACGAGCGGCCGTGTGCTCGCTTGTTCCCGCTCTCACAGCAGTGAGCGGACACTGGCATCACAGCCCGGGCGGCGGGGTAGTCTGCATGCTACAAGAATGGAAGGATCCAAGCTGGAACAGACACGTGGTCCTCCAAGATCAACAAAAGGAGTGGGGATTTGTTGAAGATGCTGCTATGACATCACGTGTGGGTGCCTTTCTTTGGGGATAAATTGTGATGATCAATAGAGCTCTGGCTAACGAACACAGCCCTCAGCTGTACAATTCTCACGGATTGAATCTATCTACGAGAAGCCGACGGTCTGTCCCTGTGAAACTGCCTGTGAGATGAGCATCTAACCTTTAGGAACACAGGAACACGTTAAAGGAGTTGGTTCCACTATGGCATTTCCTCCTAACCTGACTGACTGGGATGAGCTCCCGAACTGGCACCAACGCCCACATTTATTCTGCAGAAGTGCTACTGGTAGAAGGACGTTCATACTCAGAATCTCTCTTGTCTCCTCATAAATGCCACCCTTTGGTAAACCTCATTTCCTAGATCCACTGCCTTAAGATGAGCAGGAGTTGCTGGACCACTAGGGAGGAAAGCATCCTAAAGAAAAAAAAAAAAAAAAAAAAAAAAAAAAAACCCCACATTAGCACCCTTGTGGTGATCAGCAAATGACCTGGAGCCACTCACCTCATCCACCCGGGCTTGCGTCTGCTGCAGCCGTTTGTTGCTTGAGACATTGGCAGCAGGAGGTGGCCCTGCAGCCCCAGCACTTGCTGGACCTTGGGTAGGAGCTGGAGCAGACCTAGATCAAAAACAGAGAGCATAAAAAGTGACTGAAACCACCTTCGCTTGTTCATTACCCCTCTTCCGAAACAAGTCAAAAGGACCTATCTCTTAAAAGGAGTTCTGCGTTGTCTTACAGCCCACATTTTCCATTCCTGGATCACAACCCTAGCGTCCCATTCCTTCCCACGCTGTAATTATTTTTTACACTATTTGTTGATGGGACCATACCAAACTCTTCCCCTCCCTTGCTGCCTTTTTAAACAGCAAGCAATTCAGATTATCTACCCTAAGTTAGACCAATGGCCAAACTGATCACAGGCCTGACTAGCAGGGCAGAGCTTATGTCCCACTAAGGAAACAGACCCTGCTCCGGGTATTTTGTGTTGATGCTGTAAGAGCCAGGGCTGCGACCCTGCCCTCCTCCTCCGTGTGCTGAGTGACGCACTCCCCTGCTCCTCAGCGCCTGGCTGGAAGCTAACCAAGTAAAGACAAAAAACAGGAGAGGAGAAAGAAATGGGGTAGGAAGTGGGGGTGAGAATTGCACACAGCATGGGGTCAGTCATCTCAGGCGTTCAGCAATGCTCGACCACCCCACCCACCGGTGGGCACCGAATGCCCCAGCAAAGCAGCTGGCCAGGGTCGAGCATCTGCCACGGGCCCTGGATGAATGTAAGCGGTGATGCTGTGAACAGAGCCCCGATCTCCTGCACGTCAGCTCTTTTCTTAAGCATCAACACTGGCTTTCCCAGCTCGCTCTAAAACAAAAGACAAAACAAAAGTCCCTTAAAATCCAACAACAGATCTGGTCTGGCTCAGCGCACACGCTTGTTCAGACAAGTCACCCCACTTGCCCGAACAGGGTCCCTCAAACCTTGCCAGTTGTTCCTCACACCCACACTTTAACCTGTGAAACCTGATCGTTCCTTTCAAGGGACCCCTGTCATTTCTTATTCAGGGGAATAAAATCCTTCCTGAAGCTGCAGAGGAAACCCCTAAGCATGTGCAATGAGAAATCTCACAAATCCCACTCCTGCATTACCAATGCCTTCCCACAGTGACAGACTGAGAACACAGTGTTTCTCTGTGAATCATTCCCTTTTACATCCTGGGGTCTGATTAATGCTGCTGGAATGATGGCCCCACTGATACACCATCAGAGTGCCTAGAGGCACTGAAGTTAGCTCCCCAAGGGTACCTCCAGCTGCAAAATTCAGTTTGACTGTATCGCCTGTGGGCTGCGATCCCTACAGACAACGCTGACCCTCACAGACTCCCAGAGACGGAGCAGCTGTTTGCAGACCCAGAGCACTGCTGCATCTCACACTGCTTTTTTGTAACTGTGGGCGAGATCATCATTATCAAGCTTTAGCTGAAAGAAAAGAACTTCAGGCATGCACAAATTGCTCATCCTTTGAGGACCTCACAGCCACTATTAAAAACATAAAAGACCAGATGCTGCTGCCACCTGCAACGGAATAACTCCATTGAAGGGCCACGGGCCAGGATACCAACAGGATTTATTCTGAGTTTACACTGTTGTCACAAAATATCAAAATCCGACTATAATGTATATCAGACTCAAATAATGCAAAACAAGATCATCCTGGAGCACTAACAACTTCCAAGGGAGTTCCTGGTACAACAACAGAGCTAAAACTGAAATCGTATCATTTCTTTGCAGTCACGGAAGTAAACAGGCTTTTTCCCAATCAACACAAACAGAATTTTTTCTATGGAAACATTGTGTCACACTGTTCACTACTACCAAGGTTAAGGGAGGTCCCCTCCTGAGCCTCGTACTGTTAACATCCCAGAGACCACAGAACAGAAGCACGTGAGAAGAAGCGTTTTTCCTGGCCGCATGTTTTCACCAGTAAGCAGAGCTTCTAAGCGCAGCTGTGTTCTTGGTCAAAGCTATACAGTAACTCAAAAGTTCAGTGCTCTGCCATGTATCTTTTCCGCCCAGTAATTTTCATCTTTTTTTTTTTTTCCCCCCCGATATTTTTTTTTTTTTTTTTTTTTTTTTTTTTTTTTTTTTAACCTCTCAGGCTGTCCTTAAAATGGTTTGGGATAAAGTAAACACTTCCCAGTTTGTTCTCTTCCAGGATCCTCGCTGCCATCCAATTTGGTTTCAACTGTATTTCCTGGGAGTCCTCTGCTCCCTGTGTAAGGGAGGAACGGATGGGAAGAACGAGTGTTTTTACAGCTGCCCTGACCATCCAGCAAGGAGTTACTGTAACTACCAAAGAGAGATGGCAATCTTTATGCTAATGTACAGCAAGCTTGTAATTAATATACCTGTCTTAATTAATTACATAAAATCTAACACAAGAGTAACCAGAGCTGGGTGCTGCCTGCCGTGCAGAGCTGCTCTTTCCAAACCTCTCGTCTCT